TTACCAATCGTGTCCTTAATGACTAGACATGCCAGCTTGCTTGGCATTCCAGACCAAGGGCAATTGATGGTCATTTCTTCCATTTCTAAGTAATGAAACAAACAACTATCACCTTCTCACCAAGTTTCTTGCTGATGGTCTTGTAGCCCATTCCAGCCTCACGCAAGTCTACAGTCTTATCCCCGATGTGCTTTGACTGTTTAGTGTTCCCCATGGTGATGGAGAGACAGGAATCAGAGAAATTTGTTTTGTGGACAGGTGTGCTTTATATACATAAGGAGTTGGATCAGGAATATCTTTGATTGGTTCATTCATTGATTGAAACCTGTGTGCCACATCGGCACACTGGCAATCTTTGTGAGGCAGAATTTTACGTGGCTTGTAGTGAATCAAATACTTATTTCACACATCGATATGTAATCAGTTTCTAACTTTTATGTACAGTGATCTTCTGTCTCCGTCCATTAAAATGAAACTTATTATTTCCCCCATTGAGGCACTTTCCCTTTACGACATGAGTTATTCAGTATGACAGTTTGCTTTTTTTTGAATTAATGATTTTGATTTTTGTGTCATTTAAAGGCCAATTAAAATCTTTTCTGCTTTTACTTTGTAGTTTTCTTTCCCCTCTCGTTTGACTCTCCACTCTCGACCCTTCTTCATGCTTACCTAGTAGGTCTCCATGCACCATGGCCACCAGATACCAAAGTACTCCAAACACGAACCAGGTCCCCGCAAAGGTAGCCGAGAAGAGGAACAACTTGTAGCGCCATTGCATGTCCAGGAAAGTCGTCCAGAGGTCACGGAGGTACAGCGCCCCTCTTCCACTTACATGCTCAATGCGTACATTGCTCCGCCCATCTTTAGAAAGGACACGCCGCCGCCTTCGCAGAGCACTTGGACCTCCAGATGCAGCTCCTCCCACTCCTGCATGACCGCCAGTTCCATCTGTGGGGGTCAGCAGGGGCTTGGTGATGTCAGTCTGCGTCTGAGAATGGCAAACTTTCTGAGGGGAGGTGCCTTCAGAGGAAGGCGGTGTGGCTGAGGTCATGACCAAAGCTACATGGTATTGGAGAAAGAAAGAGGACACAGCAAGAGGTAAGGACACAAGGAAAGGTGTGCAAAAGAAGTATGAATGAAAAGAAAGGAAAGGATAGTAAGGAAAAGAGGGGAATTGGTTGGATGGGCAGTAAAATAAAATGAACAGCGGGTGTTTTAAAATGAAAGAGTGAAGGACGTAAGAAAAAGAGAATTCGGTAAGCAATAAGAAAGATGACAGAGTGGAACATTTAGGAGGAGAGGAGAAGAAGAAGAGAGGCATTAAAGGCACATTTTCAGCTGGACAGTTGCTAGCTGTCCACAGCGGTCCATTTAAGACCCCTTTATTCTTTCACTGAAGGCACAGCTGCCCTTTCACATTAAAAGCATGAAAGCA